AGGTGTGGGGGAGTTGGGGAAGAAGGCTTCACCATCTCTCTTATCATTATTTTGAGTTCCATGCAGCTATGTGACATGGTTTTGTTAACAACTCTTTTCAGCTGTAAAATATATAGAAACAAGATGAGGCTGGGAGACTTATATTTATGTGTGTATATATATATATATATATAGTTAATTTTGCTGATAATTTCAACAAAATGTTGTCTTCTAGTTATTAATTAATTAATTAACATTTGGATTATTAAAAATGATTTCATTATGCGTACATATTTAGTAACAAATTGCGTTATTTTCAAGTTGGTATTATTATATACTTAATGTGTACACGTCCCGACCGGCACTCCATATTTCGGGCATCTCCAATGGTAATAGCTATTACTAGCTATATAGTCAGCTGACGTGGATGTGAGAGATAAGAAAAATGACTATTTTACACTATTGGACCCACATACTCCTCTCACATGATCTTGGGCTACGTGAAATAGATAAGCTATTTGTTAGTAGCTAGTGACTACTCTCTCTCTTACTTTTTCCTTGTCCACGTCATAATAGCTAGCCAAATAGCTAACCATTGGAGACACCCTTAAGGTTGTAATTTAGGTGTTACCATTGTAAAAAAATCTACAATTAATGGAGTTTGACTTTTTTTTTTTTTAATTTACTAAATAAAATATTACAAGAACTTAGACACAGTTGTATCAAAATGAGATTTATTTAAATGCTTCACAAAATACCATCATGAATGTTGACCTGGTTGTGCATTCTCTTAAAATTTGAGACTAGATATTATATTTTTATATATACAGTATATAAAATATAAATACATTAATTCATAGAGCCTCAACAACGTTGTTGTTGAATTTTGACAAGGTCAACAGTATTGTTATAATTTTATAATAAAGAGATGATAGTGCGCTATATGTAATTGATCAGATTTGAGTCATTCCACAAACTTGATTCGTATCTGTAATTTCAACAATTTGTTACATATTATATTGTAATAATATAATTGGCAAAAAATTGTCAACTACTTTAAATAACTGATTTGTGAAATACATATTATATTGTATAATACTACTTTAAACTAGTAGAACGCCCGTGTATTATACGGGTGATTGTTAAAATTTTTTCTTAAAATTTAAAAATTAATGAGAAAAAGTAATTGAAAATTTAAATACTTTATATATATATATTATATTTTAGTATGACACTTGTTACTTGTGCGACTTACATATGTTATATTATAATAATTTTTCTAACTTATAACATATAACTACATTAAACATGAATATATTAATTAGAAAATAATTTAATTTTTTAATTAATTTTAATAAATATTTTTTTATTATTGTAAAGATAAATATAATTTATTTATTTTATACAAACAATATGGATGTCAAATCGAAACTCATCAAAAGATGATTAATTTGATACATTATATATGTAAAACCGATAAGAAATACAAAAGTTATCAACTTGTAGAATACATTTACAATTCTGTAATAGGAAATGATATTAAAATACAAATTAATACATCTAAAATGATCATAAATAAATCAATATATTATGGTAATCCGAACCTAATTAGTTTTGGATTGAAATTAAATTAAAATTTATCTAAGTCAAATAACAAAACATGATATTTTGACACATAGAATTCCGAAGCATGCAAGTCTGCCACTTAGGCTCAGCACATTCGGGAACATATAGGGGGAGGGGGATTTCATTATTTGTAATAAAAAATAAATATATATGTATATATATAAATTAAAAAAAAAAAAAAATTGTAAAACTGTGCAATCGACCCAGTGGTAACCTAATGGCTAGAAGACACCCCCGGTAAATGTATGCTCAACTTTTAACATATTAATTACTAATTGTAATTATTTTATATTTGAGAAATTTAAATGTATATTCATAAATCCAAAGTAACCTAAAATGTTAATATTCATACCTTTATTGATTCTGTTCGGTAGACTTAATTGTTAACTATACGCAATATTGGAACGATTGTTCGAACTTGTTGCGCTACTCCGGAAGGGAGAGTTGGAGTATTGCCAGTTTAGCAGTTGGTGTCAGTTTTCCGGTGTATGAGGTGGACTTCGGGTGGCGAAGGTCGGCTGTAGCTTGCACGACGAGTTTGCCATTGAAGAACGTGATAGAAGCTTGGGTGAACATGAGCAAGCACAACCTTGGAGTGCTTGAGAACAAGTTGAGCCAACTCGTTTGATGTGAGGACTCAGTGGTGTAATAGTATAGACACATAAAACATGCTTAACTTTGTGAAAACCCTTTCGTACTAGGGGTGAGCAAAACGAGCCAAACTGTGCAATTCGGTGCGGTTCAGTTCGATTTTTTAATGTTAAAAAAAAATCGGTTCGGCTCGGTTTTTTCTAGGTTATAGTTTTTCATAAGTTCGGTTCTCGGTTTTGCACCGAACCGCACCAAATTGCAAAAAATGTATAGAAAAACCGTGATAAAACCAAAAACCAAACCAAACCGCAGTAAAACCACCACTGACAAAATGCATTTCAATGAAATCGATCCAACATAACACCTTTTATGGGTACAAGGGGAAGATAACTAGTCGGCCAACAAACACAACATACAATCGAAGTTCTCTTTATTACTGGTTCAACCAGCATTGATCATAACAAGCAATCCAAAGGGGGACAAAAATCAGAAGTAGTTGCTCTTATAGAAGTTTTTCAGGAAATCAGACGCACCCTGATCCTTGGTTTCGAGATCTTGAGCTAAGCCATCACGACCTAAAACATATTGTCCAAGAATGTGGTGCCGCTGTTTCGCGTGCTCAACAATGTTGCTCAATTCCTCTGTTCCCTTGAACAAAAGCATATCAATGACCTGCAAAATGCCCGTGTGTCTTGAGATGAAGGAATGTTGCTGATCCAAACTATTTTAATAATTTAACAGCTAAGTTCTCTGAATCGACACATAAAATAAAGAAAATAATAAACATAGTGTTTTTAGCAAACATTTGTCAGGATCTAAATCTTTGTGCAGATGAGCGGGATTGGGACGTCAACCATTGAACCCACCACATAGGAAAAGACTGACTGCTGTATGAATTGTAAACTCTACATCTTCTTTGTCCATGACAAATAAACCCACATTCTATCAAAAGTTACATATTCCTAACAAAGCAATTAACATATCCTAAGGTAAGGGAACTATGTTTCACCACTTCTGTTCAAATAGATCTAAAGCATGCCCAGTATGGTTCAAGTCAAACTGAGCATGGGGAGCCAAATGCAGTACTCACACAAGACCGAGCACATCTGCACATGCGAATAAATAGCACTTGATTCAGTTTGACACAACATCAAGTAAAAATTAGCTATGTTCAGCCCTGTGCCATCTAGTGAAATGTAAGCTAAAACATGGGTAAGGCCTCTTTGCAAAACACACCACAAGTAATACTTTGCCTCAATCGATTCTTGGTAGATAGAAGACACAGAAAGTATACTTTCATCGTGTAAAAGGCTTTCTTTAATGAACAACTTATTAAAATTTATAAACAAGCATATGGAAGGCAGCTCTAGAGTCCATTGTTCCCTTTGTTAGTCCGAAATGAGTTCAAAAATATCCATTACGCCAAAGATGTTAACTAGTTTTTTAAAGATTCTCCACCAAATATAATCTTTTGTCATTAGATGACTGAAATGGATCCATTGCTGCAGCAGAATTGAATCAATCCTTCAGATAACAATAAGCTCTTGAGCTATATCATTAACTTTAGACAGAATGATACAAAATGAAGTGCAGATTTTGCGTAGCCAATTTCCGGGACCACTGTCATATTAAAGAAAAACAGGTGGATACTACCTTCAATTGCATAAAAACCACATCCCGTCCAAATAACCCTCTTCATCATTATTAAATTTCAATTTTGTATACAGACAATGTGAAAGATAAAAACTAGACCATCCTTAATCTCTGCAAGCTAATACAGCTACAGCACGATCGAGCTAACTTCTATGCATTCCAATTCAATCAAAACACATCCAAGAAAAACGATATAAAGAAGGGATAGTCTTGGTCTGATTCATCTAACCAAACATAAGCTAATTATAAACTTACATGATTCTTTCCACTCATCCTATGCTTGGTGACGAATATTTATCTCTTAAACGCAACTGGGCTTTCGGAAAATCGACCAAAACATAAACTTTGAGCATTATTAGTATCTCTAATCTGCAATTCATACACTCCCCTCAAATTATCACAACAATCTAGTATCCTCTGTCCTCCAACAACGTTTGCCAAAAATTCAGATCAAAGCTAAAAGGGGTGGAAAATGGAGCGAACCTTGGGGTTAGTGACGCCAGCATTCTTGCGGATCTCGGATGAGATGACGGAGCGGAGCTTGGAAGGAGAAGTGACGTCGTCAAGGGTGTAGATGTCCATGATGGTAGGGATGGATCTGCAGGCGGTCTTGAAGAACTCGAACACGCGCTGGCGCGCCTCCGCCAAGCTCGCCGAGTTCGGCGGCACACGCACGTACTTCACCGACGACGCCATTTTTGTTGAGGTTTTTTGTTTGATTTCTGTTACGCTGATAAATTGGGGACTCGCTCGCCTTTGGGTTGGGAATGGAGGATTGCTTGGCTCAAACGACGTAGTTTCAATTAATAAATTTTTGTTAGGAGATTATTTTTAACTGATAAATTTTGAACTTAACAAATGACAAAAAAATTACAACTCATTTATCATTTATGGATGGATTTTTGGGAAATGCTACTATCCAACCATACCGTTGGGTTTTTATCTGTTATATATACATGTAGTTAGTATAAGATAGATGATTTAACGGTTAACCATCTGGACAGCATATTTCCGTAATAGGACCATAACATTTCTATGAGTTTTAATTTAAATTAGAATTTTTAAGGGGTGATTTCTCATACAATTGATTGAACGGTAATGTATCGACGAACACGTAACTATAACAAAAACTTTGTTTTCATTCTTTTAATAGTTAACATATTCGATTTCATCACATGGATGTGTAGCTGAAAAACTTCCATGATAAATTTTTTAAGATAGATTTTATGAAAATTCAACAGTCGCGTTTTGATTTATAGTTTAACTACCAACTAAAATATCACTGCTAAATTTTATAAGAAATTATCACTATACTCTTCTTATGATTGATAATTACCAGTACGAACTCCGTGCAATGCACGAATATGAGATATTCATTACATTAATATTTATAAATTAAAAATTTCAATGTTATCTGAAATTTAAATTGTGCAAAAATCACATAGAACATGTTTATTTAAAATTAGTACACAACCCGATAACGAAGTGCAGCTTGAGTGGTAAGACGTTTCACCTATGATCTATAGGTCATGGGTTCGAGTAACTGAGTAGGAGAACTGGGAGCACTATTGATCCTCCTTAAGATAAAAAAAAAATAAAAAAATATTACGCAACCCCTACGGTGCATGTAATTAAAAATAAATACATTATATTAACTTCATAACAAGTGTTGTTTTTAAATTTTTATTCAGAAATTCGATTTAACTACAATGTGAATCCATAAAATAATTATTCTGGTAAATTTTATCATATATTTAAAAATTTATATTTATATGAATAATAAGTATAATTCACATTAGCTAACAAAATTGAATCTTTTACCATAAAACATAACTACTAATTCATAATTACCCATGTAATAGATGGATGAAATTTGACAAAATTGTAATAGGGCGGCATGAAATCACACAGTAGCTATAAAGATTGAGGTCTTGTTTGGTAATCAGCGGTTAGCTGTTAGCTATTAGCTGATTGTGTCAGCTGTTTTGACTAACGAATTGTGTCAGCTGTTTTGATCAGCAGTTTTGTTAGCTGTTGGTTATGAAATTGTTTGATAAATTAGTTGTCTGTAAATAGTTGTTAACATGCAAAATTACATAAAAGAACATTCATAAACTTTAATTCCTTTCTAATGTTAAATTTGTAATTACTCAGAAAATGCACATTATTCATATTTTATATATTGTAAAGTAATTCAAGTTAATAGAAAAACAAAAATAAATAATAATTAATAACAAAATTAACCCCAGCCTCTTCAATTAAAATACCTATTTTGTTATTAAATCACTTTTTCTTCTTTTCTAGTCGCAGGCTCTTTCTTTTTATTTTTATTACAATTGAAATTATAAAAAAATGTTAGTTAGTTACTTAGTTTAAGGTTATTTTAAGGTAAAATAATAATTGAACTCTAATTTGTCAAAATACTCTCAGAAACGCAAAATTCTATGCATAACGGAAAGGTGGTGGACATGTGAGGGTTAAATTGAAACTTGAAATCTTTTAATTGAACAGCCAAGGCCAAACGCTGCTAGTTGCAGCATTTCTTATTCTGCGAATTGGACATAAAAAAGCCAACTTAACCGCTATTAACCAAACTATTTTTTAATGTATTGATAAAAGTCAAAACAGCTAAAAACCTTAACCGCTAATTTTTTGTTAAAACGTCATTTACCAAAACATGGTCTGAATCTTTTACAATGAGTTATAACTAATCCCACAAATTAAGGGAAACATTTGATGCTTTCCCATTTTATGAATAAAAAAATTCAAAAACTTACCCAAATTGGTAAGTATTTAATGCTAACAAACTTAATTTGACTTTCTATTTTTTTTTAAAAAAGTTATTCTTTTTATATAAGTATAGATATATATTTGATTTATTTTTGTAATAAATGAAGTTTTTACTACATACATGTGTCAAATTACTCATTTGTCGATCATCGACTATCGAATCATCAATAATAATAAAGGTTAAAAAGTATTTGATTTTGTTCTTATCATTATAGACGTCAAAAGTCCAAAATCAGTTATTGTTACGGATAACTTTTGGAAGTTATTCTCCATAGTTATCTTTATCTAAATAATTGATTTGATATTATCCTATCTCTTGTTATCTTTCTATATAATCTGTAAACTCATTCTACGAGAAGGATCGAACAGAATAAAAATATTTCTTCCCCATGTTCTCTCTTATGATTTTAGCATGGTATCAGAGAGGTAAAATTCGCCGCCGACGCCACACCTAAAATCTTATTTCACTATCACCGTATTTTCTTTCTTCATCATGTCATTTGGCACCCCAACTCCCCCTTCAAATTATAAAACTATTTCACCATATGATATCACGTCAAGTGATAACCCCGGATGTGTGATTTCTACGGTTCTCTTAACAGGGCAAAATTATATTGAATGGTCCTCTTCGCTCCGGACGGCTCTCCGGGCACGCAAAAAATTTGGTTTTCTTGATGGTTCCATCCCTACGCCGGCTAACAATTCTCCGATTCTCGAAGATTGGTTCGTCAATAGTTCGATGTTGGTTTCATGGATAAATAATACGGTTGATCCGGCACTTCGGCCCTCCATACCACAAATTGAAGTTGCCAAAGAATTATGGGATCATCTTCGTCGTCGTTTTTCCGTCGTCAACGGAACTCGAATTCAGCAATTAAAAGGAGAATTGGCTTCTACAGTCCAAAAAGGTATGACCATTAGTGCATATTATGGCAAGTTGAGGACATTATTCGATGAATTAAACTCATATCAACCCCCAATCGCATGTACCTGTGGACATGCCCGAGAATATGAAGCTCGTAGAGATGCTGAAGAAACTCACCAATTTTTGTTGGGCCTGGATAGAGATGTGTATGGATCGGCCCGTTCTAGTCTCTTGGCCCAGGATCCATTACCCTCTTTGGACAAGGTGTATTCGGTCATTTCACAAGAGGAACGACTTTCTTCTTCATCTGCTCCGATCGACGACGTGATGAGCTTCGCCACCACCACAACGCGACAATCACTGTGGCCGATCTGGACATGAAACCCCAAATTGCTTTCGGGTTAAACCCTACCCTCACTGCAACAAGGTAGGCCACGATCCCCGCTGCTGCTATGAGGTCGTCGGTTATCCCCCAGGCTGGTCCAGCACGTCTCCTGCTGCTACCGGCGCACCTCCAGCGGGGCAAGGGCGCTCGAACAACGCCTCCTCTTCTTTGGCTGGGAACGACCGAGGGCTGATTCCCTCAAATTCAGCCAAGGCTCACGCTGCAAGTCTTATTGGAACTAATTCTCTTGGGTCTGGTCTTGTTGGGCCAGGACATGTTGGGCCTTCTATTCAGTTTGGTACTTATGGGGCTAATTCTGTCCCAGCATCTACAGGTTTGAGTCCGGACCAGTGGCATGCATTAGTGAATCTTGTACGCCCTAATAACTCTGAGACTACCGTTTCTAATCAATTAACCGATAAGGATTATTCCCGTACTTGGATGTATGATTGTGGTGCTACACATCACATGATTGGATTTTTTCAATGTTTTGTTGATATTTGTGACATTTCACCTCGACCAGTGCAACTTTCTAATGGGCAATTGATTGTTGCGACTAAAGTCGGCAAAGCTCGTCTTAGTCAAAATTTGGTCTTGTTCAATGTTTTATTTGTTCCTAGTCTTAAATGCAGTCTCATTTCTTTATATCACTTGTTGGATGATCATGGGTGTACAGCCCACTTCACTAATGTTGATTGTCTCATACAGGACCGTACTACGAGGACGGTGATTGGTCTGGGTGAACAAAAGGGGGGGGGGTTATATTTTTTTCGTGATCCTATAAAGACGGTGATGGCTAAGGTATCTGTTGGTGGATCTGTGGATTTGTGGCATCAACGATTGGGACACCCACCACTGCAGGTTATTGGGAAACTTTGTAATTTAGATCCTACTCTTGTTAGTAGTTTTGACAATAAAGCTTGTGATGTTTGTCATCGTGCCAAGCACACCAGAGACTCATTTCCTTTGAGTGACAGTACTAGTTTGGAACCTTTTGCTTTAATTCATTGTGATTTATGGGGTCCTTATCGAGTTCCCTCATTTTCTGGAGCTAGATATTTTTTGACAATTGTTGATGATTTTTCTCGAGTTGTGTGGCTTTATTTGTTGGATGACGAACGTTGTGTTTCTTCTACTTTGACTGGTTTTTTTGCCATGGTGCAACGTCAATTTAATAAATTGGTGAAAGTTGTTAGAAGCGATAATGGTACTGAATTTATGTGCCTCACTTCATATTTTCGACATATCGGTATTTTACATGAGACATCTTGTGTAGCTACCCCTCAGCAGAATGGTCGAGTAGAACGCAAACATCGACATGTTCTCAATGTGGCGCGTGCTCTGCGTTTTCAGGCTAATTTACCCATAAAGTTTTGGGGACATTGTGTCTTAGCTACAGGACATTTAATCAACCTTACTCCCACTGCAGTATTACATGGAAAAAGTCCCTATGAGGTTCTTTTTGGCGAATCACCCCCTCTTAAGCACCTTCGTGTTTTCGGATGTTTGTGCTACGTTCACAATTTGGATCGTTCCAGGGATAAATTTTCTAGTCGTAGCTAGGGGTGCAAACGAGCCGAGCCGAGTCGAGCATTGACCTTATCGAGCAGGATTGAGTTTTTTTTTTTAGCTGCTCGAGCTCGAGCTCATCGAGCTCGATTTTTTTGGCTCGAGCTCGACTCGATAAGAAATTACAATAGCTCGAGCTCGGCTCGTGCTCGACTCGAAATCAAAAAGCTCGAGTTCGGCTCGAGTTCGGCTCGAAAATTAGGTAAAATTACCGTTAAGCACCTATGCTAAGATATACAATAAGGGGTATTTTAGTCATTGACGTATAACTCGAGCTGCTCGACGAGCCGCTCGACAAGGAAAAATATAGGCTCGAGTTCGGCTCGAGCTCGACTCGAGTTCGGTCAAACTCGAGCTCGAGTGGAGCTTTAACTCGAGCGCTCGCGAGCGGCTCGTGAGCCGCTCGACTCGTTTGCAGCCCTAGTCGTAGCAGAAAGTGGATTTTTGTGGGCTATCCTTTTGGGAAGAAGGGTTGGTCAGTTTTTTATCTTGACACTCGGGAGTTTCTCGTTTCTCGAGATGTTAAGTTTTTTGAGGACCAGTTTCTTTTTTCTACGTCACTTGCTTCCGAGTCTGATTTTATGCCACTTATTTTTCTTACACCGTGGCCAGCTATTGATGATGACTCTTCCCCTGTTCATGATTCTGAGCCGGTCATCTCTCTCAATCTAGCATCTTCTTCTCCCTCTGGGGCTACTGAGGTCCGAGGGGGTTCTGATTCCATGGTGTCTACTGAGATCTTGGGACGTGGCCATCGGACAAAGTTTCTTTCAGTCAGACTGCGAGATCATGTTACCAGCACTATTATCCCCCCCCCGTTCACTCTTCCACTACTTCATCGTCCTCAAGTACACCTTATCCCTTAGCTCATTTTGTTGATAGTACTACTTTATCATCTGCCCATAAGACTTTTTTGGCAGCGATAGAGACCTCTGTTGAGCCACGGACTTTTACCGAGGCTATGGCTGATTCTAATTGGCGTTCTGTCATGCAGTCTGAAATTCAAGCTCTTGAAAACAACCTCACCTAGACTCTTGTTCCCCTTCCTCCTGGTAAAAAGGCTATTGGATGTAAATGGGTGTATCGTATCAAACACCGGTCCGATGGGTCTATTGAATGTTATAAAGCTCGTCTGGTTATTCTTGGGAACAAGCAGGTCGAGGGTGTTGACTATACTGAAACCTTTGCTCTGGTCGCAAAAATGGTGAATGTTCGCACTTTTCTCGCTGTTGCTGCTGCCCGACAGTGGGAATTACATCAGATATATGTTCACAATGCATTTCTACACGGTGATCTTGATGAAGAAGTGTATATGAAATTGCCTCCCGGTTTTCGATCTCGTTCCTCTGATCTTGTTTGTCGTTTGAAACGGTCTCTATATGGTCTTAAGCAGGCTCCCCGATGCTGGTTTGCGAAACTCTCTACGGCGCTTCACCAATATGGCTTTCGTCAATCTTATGCCGATTATTCTCTTTTTACCTTGTCTCGTGAGGGTGTTCAGCTGCACGTTCTTGTGTACGTTGATGATATGATCATCTCCGAAAATAATAGTGGCGTTGTTTCTTCCTTTAAAGCTTATTTAAGTTGTTGCTTTAATATGAAGGATCTTGGAATTTTGAAATATTTTATCGGTTTGGAAGTAGCCCGCAATTCCTCTGGCATATTTTTATGCCAAAGAAAGTATGCTCTGGACATATTGTCAGAGGGTTGGCTTTCTCGGGGCTAAGCCGACCTCCTTTCCACTTGAACAGAATCACCAGCTTCCACTTGTTACTGGTCCTCCATTCTCGGATCCATAGAAATACAGGCGTTTGGTTGGAAGGCTTATTTGATATGCTGTCACCCGACCAGACTTGTCTTATTCTGTCCATGTTTTGTCTCAGTTTATGCATAATCCTCTTCAGGCTCATTGGGATGCTGCTCTTCGGGTTGTGCGCTATTTAAAGAAAAGTCCTGGTCAAGGCATTTTCTTTCGCGCTGATTCTGATTTACGTCTTACTGCTTGGTGTAACTCTGATTGGGCAAGTTGTCCTCTTACGCGTCGCTCTCTCACTGGTTGGATCATTCAACTCGGTTCATCGCCTATCTCCTGGAAGACGAAGAAGCAGTCTACTGTTTCTCGCTCTTCCGCATAAGCAGAATATCGACCATGGCCTCTACCACTTGTGAGCTAATATGGTTGAAATCCCTTTTGGGATGTTTTGGTGTTGATCACGTGTCTCTGATTTCTCTCTATTGTGACAGCAAGGCAGCCTTGCATATCGCCTCTAATCCAGTGTTTCATGAGCGCACTAAGCACATTGAGATAGACTGTCACTTTGTTCGTGAGGCACTGTTGAAGGGTTTTATTTCTCCTACTTATGTTTCTACCACGACTCAGCTGGCAAATATTTTTACTAAGGCCTTGGGTGGACAAGAATTCACGAATTTTCTTAGCAAGTTGGGCATTCGGGATCTCCATGCTCCAACTTGAGGGGGAGTGTTACAGATAACTTTTGGAAGTTTTTCTCTATAGTTATCTTTATCTAAATAATTGATTTGATATTATCATATTTCTTGTTATCTTTCTATATAATCTGTAAACTCATTCTACGAGAAGGATCGAACAGAATAAAAATATTTCTTCCCCATGTTCTCTCTTATGATTTTAGCAGTTATAAAGTTCAATTCGAAATTAC